GTTTCTTGGTTTGTGGCTTGAAGTAGTTTAGTGTTTGAGATTGTATCTGGCCGAAAAATTTTGATAATTCTACGTAGACATGTGTGGTGGAAGGTGGACAGCTTGTGTGCATCCTTTTTTGGTCATTCTCCAGCATTCCGCTCCATAAAGAAGAACTGGCAAAATGATGCTCTTGTAGAGTCGGAGTTTTGCAGTAATTGTTGGATTTCCAAATTTGTCTCATCCTTCCAAAAGCAGCTCTAGCTTTGTTCAGACGTGACTGTATGTCTTCCTCTATCCCTCCCAGTAGGGACACCACACTGCCAAGATATGTGAAATGTTCTACATTTTCAAGTGATTGGTTATTTATGGTCACTGGTTGTTGGTTTGGACTGTTTGTCATGATCTTAGTTTTCTTTGTATTTATTCTCAGTCCCACAATTTCTGCTGTGCAGTTTAGTCTGTTACTTTTCTCTTGTATATGTTCATGTTTATGTGATAGGAGTGCTATATCATTTGCAAAATCAAGGTCCCCAAGCATGGTGAATGGAGTCCATCGTGTGCCTCTTAATGTCCTGTCTACTGTATTCTTTAGTATCCAATTAATCACAAGGTTGAAGAGGACAGATGACATAACACATCCCTGTCTTACACCCGTCTTTACTGGGAAAGATGTATTGTAATTTTTTATACTGCAGGAAAAGTCTTTATAGAAGAGAGCAATTATGTTGACTATTTTTTCTGGAATTCCATAATGTCGTACAATTTTCCACAGACCGTCTCTATGGACGCTGTCGAAAGCTTTCTCAAAGTCCACAAAATTAATATATATGCTTCTCTGCCATTCGTTGTATTGTTCTAAAATGTTACGTATAGCGAAGATGTGTTCAGTTGTTGTTTTGCCTTTTCTGACTGCAATGACTTTCTTTTATCTTCTATCTGGCTCGCATTATCGCACGCTTGCTATCTCACATACCGACATCACACGACGAGCAGAAAATCAAAATGGACGACTGGAAAAACAACACGATACTGTTCAGCACTTTAATCTTCTACTCGTGGCTTACACAGCCGGCACATGAAATAGACTACTGTCCAGGCGGACATTATAACTCAAATATCAAAAGTATCTTTTACCTTCTGTTGGAAATCACAATCATCCTACACTATCATAATGAACGAAAACACAACAGCTGTCCTGTCAGAAAAACTAACATGGCCCGCAGACATCTTGCCTGCCAGCGTTTTTGCCAAGTTGGACTGGAAAAAATACACTCAACACATGTTGAATCCACACATCTTCCATTGTTGTCCGTGCACTCTGTTCCTGGGCCCAAACGAGACTGCCTCTCAGCCCTTTTTACGCTATTATATAGTCTTCTAATCCCCGCTTCGTTTTTCCTGTCCCTTCTGTCTCACGAATTCCATTTGGCTGGACATGGTGCGTGGCACGTGATTCCTCGTACTTCGCATGTAGTTCGACAGTCAACGTTTCTATTCACGTGAATAATTATGCTTCACACAAAGTTTGACTATCAGCCTTTTTCTATAACTCCCGTGAAGTATAGACTCAACAATCCCCGTGCCGTCCCAGTTGGAGTCAAAATAGTCCACTCACATTTATTACTGACGTCCTCTGTCGGGCATAAATTGACTGGGAGAAAATGAGATTCACTACACTGATTCCTGCTTGTTCCACTCGTAGGCATTTATCTACTCCTTTTTCAAGCCGCATTATGATGATTTTACAAATTATTTTGTTGGTACTGAGAGTAGAGTAATTCCCCTCCAATTATTGCAGTCTGTTTAGTCTCCTTTTTTGGTGATTTTGACAATTGTTCCTTCAGTCCAGTCATCAGGCAACACTTTTTTCCCCAAATATCCTTGAACAATGGTTCTAGAAGTGATCTTTCCAGACGTCACGATATTTTCCAGTGCTCCTTTTCTCATCATATGACCAAAGAAATTTGTCTCCTCTCTATTATTATAATAAAATGTTCTACTTTCAGTAGCCATTTCCAGGCAATCACTGTTACTTATTCTGGGAGTACAAGGTACTCGAAACATCTTTCTCAAGAACCACATCTCACAATTGTTCTTCATTACTCACATAGACATAATTATAGAGGAGGCAAAGACAGACAATGAAGAAACAAATGAACTTCTTTCTGCAGACGATCAGTTCTCATACACCACCAAGAACAGAATTGACAACACCATACTGACTCATTACATCAAACCTGCACAAAGTATGATATGAGAATAACAACCTGATTGACAGGAAACATAATATCACGAACGTTCATGCTAACGGTACTACAATCAAACAAGTACGATAATTCAAATAATTAGGAAGCATATTTATAGATGGTGATAGACTCAACAGAGAGATAGAAGACAGAGTACAGAGGGCAAATGTCACCTACCAGTTAGCCCCACTGCTTAAACACCCAAATGTCTCACTTCCAGCAAAACAGCAAATGATCATAGCATCTTGATCCCTTCTTTATGTTATTAGTGCCAAACATGGACAATGAAAAAGGCACTACAAAAGAAAATAACTACATAGGAAATGCGCCGTCTCCGGAAGGTCACTAAGAACACAAGAAGAGACAGGGTAACAAATATTAGCATTAGAGAGAAAGTTGGAATAACAACGTCTGGATTATATTGACAGAGAAAGAATAAAATGGTTCAGCTATCTAGTGAGAATGCAGCCAGACCAAACTGCATATGAAACTTTTCAAAGCAAAACATATGGGAGGAATGCGAGAGGAAGACCAAGAAAGAGATAGATAAATGCTGTAGCAGAAACCTGCAAAAAGATAAACAAATCCATCACCCAATATGTTGCTACTTTGAAATTTACTGACTGGAAAGAGGGACCAGGCACGCAAAGAAAAAGACAGGCAGACAGGAAGGCAGGCAGAAAGGCAGACAGAAATGCAGACAGAAAGGCAGACAGGAAGGCAGGCAGGAAGGCAGACAGGAAGGCAGACAGACATGTAGCTAGAGCCGTCAGTATGTAGGTAGATAAATGTGTAGGTCTATAGGTAGGGAGACAAATGGGTGTTCAGACAGATAGACACACAGAGAGACAGACAGACAGGTAAATAGGTAGGTAGGCAAGCACGCAGGCGGGTAGGAGGGTAGGTAGGTAGGTAGATAGGTAAATAAATATTACTTCACATACCTGCAACTTCTGACTGTACCACTGAGTCCCACCTTCGCTGAAGACATCCAAAATCGCAGCCAGCCCTCCTTGAAATCTGGTTAGTCCGGTGACCTCGCCCCCAGCGTC